GTACCATGTTAGTACCTATTGGTACCCATTGATAGGTACCTAAAAATATAGAGTTACACAAGTAAACTAGTTGGGGAATCATAAGTTTCTGCAAGAGAGTATAACTGGTAAACAATTTTATACGGTGATATGTAAATTCCTACTCGAATATAAAAATGAGATATGTTAGTAAGTATTTTTACACTGTAAAAAAAGTTACGTACGTTAGTTGCTATACAGCAGAAAAAGTGATGTGAGTAAGTTCTTACACGGCAGAAAAATATATAATATGTATAAATATATAATATATATATATATCATTTAGGTAGGTATCTAAATTTTATTTTCATACATTTTATAATTCAATAATTGTTAAAAAAAAATAGGTCGTTTTTTAAATTTAATATTATATGTTATCAAACTGACGAGTAATATGATACTGTTTAAAAAAAAAAATATCATAATTGGTAACCGTTTGGTATTTTGTACATGGGCTGCAATGTGGTGACTCCTAGTATAATGTCTAAATTCTAGAGTTAAACAATTTAGAGACATACCTAACTGTTGATGGTGTTCGCAAAAATCGTAGGTTATATTTTGATAATATAATAAATATATAATTGAGTATATAGGCACAGCAATTTTATATTTTTAAAAATTGTTCATTTTTACTGGTTTTATTATCTTACGATGAATAATACCAAACTTGTCGACATCAAACCACTTTCAGATTTCGAAAGTAAAACCCGTTTACTACTATATGGATAGTGCCGGGTATTGATGATGAGTGTATAGACTATAGACCACTGCAGCAGGAGGTCATCGCATGCAATGAAATACTTCGTCCCTCCTGTGGTCAGGACACTAGGAACGTATATAATATACTATATATAGGTACCCCGGTAGAAACGAAAAAAACAATCAACAGAACACATGGCGTAAACATGTAACTTGTAAAAGGATTCGTTATGTTTTTATAAATACAGTTGCTGGTGTTTAGTAAATAGATAGTTATTTAAAAAACAAATCCTACTCAGCCAGGGTTCTTGCAATGCTGCTGTAATTATTATTTATACACAATATAACAATAAAATAGTCACGTGGTATGCGAACCAATGCGGTAGGTATACAAGTTTGGAAAATTCAACTAGTCTCCTTATTTGCTGTAGGTTAGTTTCATGCTAAAAAACTGTTAATAACACCTATATCATGTTTTCTAAAGATATTATATTATCTTAAGCGTACATCCTGGATGTATATTATTACACTGGTAGGTAGGAATCAAATGCGTGGGAAATTTAAAGACAAAAATGTACTTAAGTTAGTTAAGTATAAAGTCAACAATTTAACTAATAACCTAACTTTAAAAACGTTAAGTTATAAAAGTTAGCACATAACATAATATTTTAAAGAGCAACATTAAATTAAAATTTTTAAATAATAATTTACAAGGTACCTATATTTTGCTAAACATTGTTCTTACTTTATGTACCTGCCTACCTACTAAAATACTAAATTGTTAAATTAAGAAATATATGTTTGGTTTCTGGTTACCTACTTTGTTACAAATAATTTTAAGCAGGGTAGTTTTACCAGTGTAGATTTAGATTATTCAGTTTAACAGCGTGGTTAAAAAAAAATTATTTAATGTATTTTTAATTTTAACTATGTTTAATTTTTATATATGTACTTACTCTAGGTAAGCATAATGTATACTAATGTGGTTTTAACACATTTCAATTTATTCCTTTTACATTTATCTACTCTAGTTAAGACCAAATTATCAAATAATATTGTTGTAATTAGTGTGAATGGCACTTAGTTAAGGATTGGATTAGGTACGTGGTACGTATAATATAATACTATATAGGTAGGTATTATATATGAAGACATGTAGTACCCACGAGCCCATTGCACGTAGGTATGTTTCAAGAATTGTCATCGTTCGTAAAATAATCGTCATGAGTAACACAATATCGAAAAGTGACCAGACGAAAGAATGCGAAACTCTTAAAGTTGTTTCCGAGAATATGTATTCTTACATTATATTATTACGAGCACGTTTTTTAAATTATACGGACAGAAAACACTCGTAAAACGCTCGAGGCCATGTTTCCCCAACACCGGGATGTACCTATAAATTGTTTAATGTAATGTGTATACTATATTATAATATAATAGATAGCCTTCCTAATGGAATAACAAACAAAAACAGATGGGTAAACGAGACACACACGCGACGCGCTACGTTTGACTGTGTATACACAGTACAGTATATTGTATACTTAAATAGGTAATATCGATATTATTATAGATATATCATTGGTTAGGTAGGTACCATAGCCATACGAATTCCCCGATGGCGGTTATAGTCATATTTCCAATATGTCAATGTAACAGTAAAATATAATAGTTAATAAGTAATAGTAGTAATACATAACAGATACGAAACATATGGTTTCGATCCTAATCTCATGAGTTGATTAAGGGGTGAGATTTTTGAGACCGTGTAAGGATTGGTCAAAAAGCTTAAATTTAGGTATCTTTCCTTTCTTAGTTGTAGACTTTAAACACCTTGAAAATTTCACCATTACGTAAATATTATTAATTTCTATAATGGAAGAAATGTTCAAAATATTTAAATTAATTTTTAAGCTATTTAGGTCTAACTATCTTATTTACGTCATTCTAAATATATGTTGGTATTGCCTTATACGTCAAGTTAATAGCAATGGTATATGATAGAATATTTTGATAATTAATGGTAGGTAGGTAATATACTATTATAATTTGCGGTGTTATATTATATAGGCGAACATTATTTCAACATAATCACATAACCACACATCTATTAAAAACTAAATTTCTAAATTTTAATTGAACCTTATATAAACAATTTATAAAATATCCTTAGAAATATAGGATGCCACATAGTTTCCAGGTTGGAATCATTTAATTCAATTTGAACACATCCTTAATACAATAATACCCACAGGCCAAAGTGAGTACAATGAGTCACTTATAGTGACCTATACGGCTGTACTCAATGACGAGGTAACTCAAAATCTACAATTATACAGAAGAGCGACTTCTTCTGTTTGTATATTTACATTGAAATGCGCGGAAAAATATTCAAGATTAAAATATAAATGTATGTACACTGTCATCCAAAACTAAAAACTTCAAAATCATAAGTATTTTCGTAATGTTATGTGTTAGCTTTGGTGCTGTTTTTTCAAAGTGAAACAATTTTTTTTTGTCCATGTGTATTTAAAAATATTACCAAACCCTCGACCAATAATTGTATCAGATTTCCATTTCCACCCATGCATTTATGTGCGTATTGTTCGACGGAAGAAAACAATGTGCATGTGAGGCATCCTCTATTAATCCGACCTAAGCCGACAACGGACAATAATAACGGCCGATGAGTATAGGGTTGCCATATACGTCCCGGTTTGGTCGGAACTGTAGTACCTACTGTATCCACAGGTTTTGAATATAGCGTCCCGTATTCCGATATGTGTCTCGGGACTGCCAATTGTTCCTGAATCAAACTTTAATAATTTATATTGACAATATTTGTCTTTTACTGACCATTTCTAGTAGAGAAACAATATTGTTTTGATAAACGATGTAATAGTCAAGAAGATTACGGACGTAATTTATTTCAGAATTCCCAGCTTGGCGACGAAAATATTATTGATAATATGAAATATGAATACGTTCATTGTTTTCGTGTTCCGCCGGGACAAATTTTGATATCAATTATCGCTAATTGATAATTTGGTCGGTTACTCATAACGATTCGTAACATTGAGTTCGTTTTTGCCTCCGAATATGTACGTTGTAGAGTGGTGACCATTGTATTCTAGTAACGAACAAATAACGTTAAACTTCGAGCGGTTGACCCCTTAATAGTGGTATGATTACTCCCAAAAACATTATTAAAAAAAATGGTTGGCCATTATTGTCATGTAAAATCAAATATGGCAACCCTACGGCGATGAGATGTAATACGCATAATATGAGCTTCATATGGTAATATACCAACCTACCATATTATTAATGAATACCCGTAGCCTGGAGAGTAATACGGTGAAACGCAGGGAATCACGCACACATCATCGCAATAATTATCATATTTTTCTTATAAAACGGCGTACGCATAGGTAGGCAGGTACAACATTGCAATGACGGTTTCGTATCGTCATCCGTGCTGTGTTATTCAGGCCATGCCGGGTTTTGAAAACCATCGAGATGACGTAGCACCCGCCGCCGCCGAGCACGATAAAACGTGTGTGCCGTGCGGTTCACCATGAATCAGACACTCGGTGACTCATGCACATAGTATTATTATTATTATTATGGGGATTGGAAGTAGTGATTTTCTGTCTTTGTCAGTTACACGAGGCGATATTATAGTATGGTACCATTATTATTTAGACTTGTTCCGTTTTCTAACGATTCGTAAATATGCCTACATAATATGACATTATTCCGATTTATGGAAACAGATTTAAATTCGTCGCTATGTCCTCTTCACATCGACACATATAACTCGTTCACATTTTCGATCTCTGTAAACAGCGCAAAAGCGAATTGGAAAAATTGGTACCTACGTTACAATTTGTCATATGCAATTTTTTTTGGTCAGCTCTAGGGGATAAGATAAAATCGAAAACGTGAGTTAGTCGACCTCAAGAAGTGTAGGTTGACTTCACGACGTATCCAAACGTGTTTTCAGAATCATAATCGCCTAATAGATCGATCGGTCATCGGAAATAGAACACGTCCTAACGTAATAAATTCGTATAATATAGGTACCACGCATGCGACAGACAAAGACGGCAAACCTTCTCAACATACATCGCCAGTTATCGTCAGTTAAGTCGCGACGTTTAAGTGTGCGCAGTCCACACGGCGGCGGCGACTTCTCCGCCCCGCCACTCCGCACCGCAATAGTGCCGCCTCACCAGATGAGCGCACGCACGCACGCAAGTAACGTAATATACGATCGCATACCACGGACATCGCAGTGAGCACTCCGACCGCCGCCGTCGCGCCCAGTACACGTCGTCACTCGTCACCAGCAACAGTACGGAGGCGTGCCTCATTTCCGCCTCGTCGTCACTTGCTCACTGCAGACCATCTACAACTGTGGTACCTACTGCAACAGTTTCCGTCTTTACTGTTTCGACGTTAAGTACAAATAGCGAAAATCGTTATGCTCTCGTCGTAAACCGTCGGCCGTCGTCACCATCATCGTTTTTTACCGAAATCGTTAGTCACTTTCGACCGCAGAAATTCGTGTTGGACAGACTCCACCCGCCCTCGCGTGATCAGTTGGTGCTGAAAAATGTCTAAGGTCTCCAATTACGTCAAGGCGCTTAACGGCAGCGCGAACGTCACTGCCGCCGACGATGAGCTCAAGGAACAATTTTCCAAGGTAACTTACAAACAAAGACTTGACCTGTTCCTACTTTCATACCTACCTACCTACCTACTTACTTACTTACTTACTTGAATTCTGTACATAATATTTTATTTAATATTATTATTAGTGTTGTGCCTTACAGGCTTTTTCCCCAACTATATGGTGCCCTGTACCCAAGCAATAGATTATTTTACTCACTCGTCATACAATCCGATGTCTTCCCTGTGGGGACTTAAGATCTCAAAACTTGACATTTGTTCATTGTGTTCATATTATTATTATAGCCTATTATAGATATCACCTACCTACAACAATAATAGTTATGTGTAATAATATATGTTATTGTTATTACTTGCTTTTGGTCTATTATTGCTAATCATAATTTTGTTTAATACTTCAATAGACTCAATACATTTATTGGTGTCTTAGTATCTAATAATATATTATTATCAAAAGTAATAAATAATAAGAGTTTAACTTTTTCATTTGACATTGTAATATATGCTCAGTAGTCAGTACACTGGTATTATTAGTGAGTAATATAATATGCTGATAAGTATTTTTTATGTTTTTGATAAAGAATAAGAACATTTTTATAAGTTGATAACACTCTTTATAATATATTATATTTATTACCAGTGTTCCTTAACCTTTTTACTGTGGCGACCCCTTAATAAACAATTTCTTATTAATTCCTAAATATATATTTTATATAGTTATGTATAGGTTACCATTAAGTATAAAATATATACAACCACAAGTATTCACATTCAAATATTGTGATGCCAGAGTTGGCATGAATTCCTACATGATTATTATTATTTTGTAATCTAAAGTATCCAATTTGTGATTAATTATCAAACTAGGTAACTGTAACTACTTTATAATTACATACAATTATGGTTTAATTTTGTTTAAAATTACATTACTCAGGATGGAGGGGTATTCATATTTTAAATGTATAAACTATACACTGAGCTGTAAACTGATAAATTAAAATAAAATAAAGTTCTATTTAGAATAATTATTTATATTTTTTTAATTGTAAATAAAATAAATAAATGTTAACTGTACAGATACCACGATGAAATTTATTATCCTTCTTTCGCACGAGTCATTAAAAAATACATCAACACAAATTTGTAAGAAGTACCTAGGTGTTAAAAATTGAATTTATGAGCCAATTTATAACCATTGTATAAAAATGAGTAATGGACAGGGCTTAGATTTCAATTTAATATGCAATTTATATAGGTGCTCTAAAATAATGGTACTTGTACCAAATTTGTTTCATATAACAGAAAATTATAAAAGAAAAACTTGTAGAATACAATTTATCCAAGAAAGATTGGTTATGCTAAACTCAAATTTGGTATGTTGCGTTTGGAATGTTTGGATCACAGACAACATTTGTTACATTATTTAATTATTGTATATCAAATGACTTAAGATGACGTTTTACCCAAATGTGTTATCTCTGCCTTACTAACACAAACAGTGAGGGTACTAAGGTACCCGTTCCTCGTTACTGTAACATAGTTACATTTTTCAATAACGTTATGGTAACTTCATTATTATTATTTTTGGGTAACGCAAGAGTAACTACGTTAATTATTTAGAAGCAACTTAGCAGAAGAATGGGTTTGATTATAAATTAAATTTTTTTTTAATAACTGAATTTAAAT